GAGGAGCGAAAGTGTTTTACTTTTGATGTATTAGGTACAGCTTTAAGATTTTTGAGGAAGAAAGTGCTTAAGTAGGGTAGCACCTTCTTATACCGTCAGCACCCCCTAACTGGCACAGTAGCTGTCATTTTGGGTAGCCAGGTATCTATATACATATATAATACGCGAAAGCATTTTTTTTACAGGATAAAAGATCTGCACCGTTGTACTGTAGATGTGCAAACTGGTTTTATTTTTTCGAAAGGAATTGCCACCTGTTGAACAATTAAATTCAAATTTTTTAATAATCAATACCGTACCGTTCGTTCGATTTTCCAAAGTAAGGTGTCAAATTAAAAGGCTTGGACTACAGATTTGAAATAAGGTTTCACTTTTTAGAGAATAAATCAGTTATTACAAAATGGGTATCAATCGAAATTTTATCGAAAAGCTTTGTTTCTTCACTTAACTCTAGGAGGGTTGCTACCTGTTTAAAATTTCAAATTCAATTTGAAATACGGGAATTAGGTAAGAGCAATATGTATCGCCATATGGGTGCCAAACGAAAGGGGTTTCAGAAGGTAGTAGTTTGAAAATATTTTTGAAGAGGGCTGCCACCTGCATAAAATGTTTAATTTAGTTAACTGATATGCATATGTACAAGTTATATTAAATATCAAAATAAAGAGTGTTAAGAAGTCTTCAATTTGAACACTAAGAATCATTTTGAGGTTTTGGGAGAGGGTTGTCACCTGTTTAAAAATTATTCAAAAAGATAAATGAATTACTTAAATACGGGCGTCAATCGTAGGGGTTTGAAAATTTTTTATTTCTGAGCTATATATAGCGGGGTGGCCACATGTTTAAAAAATCAAATTCAACTTAATTACACAACAAGGTTAACAAGGTTTATGCTTTAAAATACTTATGAAGAGGGCTGCCACCTATTTAAAAGGTCGAATTTAGTTAACTTATACACAAGTTTTATAAAATATTGAGATATGGGTGTCAATCGATAGAAATTTATGCAAGCTTTAGTTTGAAAATATCTTTTATTAGGCTGGCCACCTATTCGCAAAGTCATATTGATGTAACTAATTATAATTATATATTTATTATTAGAGAAAGTATTCTTTGCGATAGTCATTAGCAGGGAACGGATTTTATGGAAATTGTCTTTTTTTCTGCTAAAGAGATAGAGTATATTCGATTAAGAATGTCCACGATTTAGCTTTCCCTGATTCCATATATACACATTTGATGTTGCCTTTTTTTGCCTTTTTTAAGATATTTGCCTTTTTTTGCCTTCTTTAATATATTTGCCTTTTTTTGCCTTTTCTACCTTTAAAAAGTGATTATAGCATTTACAATTTTTTTTTTTTAAGATTAAAAAATATACACATGCCCATGCGGCTTATAGAAGCGCAGGGACCTCTTGCCAAATTAGTGTTGAAAAAATTCAAAGCCGTTTTCTCAGCTAACGTAGGCTTGAAGACAATAAGGGGTGTGGATAAAATTGTAAAGGGCGAGGAAAACGCCCTTATTCCTGATAATATGAACGTTTCAAACGTTCCATATTTAAATTGGGCGCCGCTTATATCAACTTACGTCGATCGCACATTTAGTACATTCAAGGATTTTCTTCGCGAAAATCGAATCAAAATGCTGCCAGAAAACTTCAAAATGCATCTTGTGGTTCAATGTTACTACAACTATACAGATTTAAGTTTTATGAGTTAGAAACTCGAAAGGATAAAATAGTCAAAGATTCAAAGTACAAATTTTTCATATAATGAAACTAGTTCATAGTTTTTCTCTTTTTACTTGTAATATAAACATTTCTAAAAAAATATATTTTTTGATTGTTCTTCGTATTTTCTGTCTTTTTTAGTGCCTTATTTTGCTTTTTTTGCAATACCTTTTTTTTTGCCTTTTCCTGTTTTTTCGCTATTTTATTTTGCCTTTTTTTGCCTTTTTTACAATACCTAGTGCCTTTTCCTGCCTTTTTCGCTATTTTATTTTGCCTTTTCCAGCCTATTTCGTTACTTTATTTTGCCTTTTTTATAGGTTTTTAGGTCCTAAAAATCCGTTCCCTGGTCATTAGATTTGCACCGTTCTTTGAAATTTATAAAATGGGCGGTCAAATTAAAGACATTAGCCTGTAAATGTGCGATAAAGCTAAATTTTTTTATTAAGAACTTTTTATCGGTATAGTATCAGAAATGTCTGTATGGATTTAGACGAACAATGGCACTCGGATCGCTTATAACTCCGACTAACATTTGGAATACTTTTTAGACTCTGAAATTAAATTTTGGGTGTTTTAACGCCGTGCGGGTTCACTAGTAAGTTATGTATATCAGTGGCAATATCTGTGTGTGGGCTTTTTACCCGTACATCTTGATAAAAGCATTTGTAAGATGGCTTCTAACAAGAAGTACGCTCTAAAGCAGTCCTGCTGCCCTCTTATAATTTGAGTGATATTAAAGTCTACTTCGCCATGTTTTCTTGCCAGCCAACTTCTTATGTGCGGTATGAGCATTTTATGGGTTGAAGGCTCAGCACAGCTTGAGCAGGGTTCTCGAAAACGGCTCTAACGATTTTGATGATATTTTGTACACAGATGTTTTGGATGTTTTAAGGTTATCTGAATAGGCATTATCTTCGAGAAGACTCGTAAAAAATGTTTTTAATATGGTTGCCATCTATTTTGAATCGCATATTTATTTTATTTTTTGTTTAGAAAAAAAAGGTAAAATATTAATATTCATGGGTACCAAGAGAAGGTTCTTAAACAATGCTTTCCGTATAATAAAAATGTTATCCTTTGGGATAATAGTGTAAGGTTGCCACTCATTTTCGATTCTACACAATTTATCTAAAACATCGCAATATGGATATCAAATGAAAGGTATTGTTGAGAGCTTTGGTTCGAAAATATTTTCGATCAGGATTCGCATGCTTCTATGAAATACAGGTTTTTGTTTTGTTAATTTCAATCAGCATTTTTTTTGTATACATACATATATACACAGTACATCTACGCTAGTAGATATGTACTATTTATTCCAACGTATTTTGGAATAGGTTTGCCACCTAAATTTTAGAGTAAGAAATTTACTTAATAGATATCTAAATTCAAATTTTTTTTTTTACTTCCAAAATATTTTTTTAAAGCTATCCAAATGACCAGTATTTGATATCCAAACCGTGAAAACTTTAAAAAGTATATGCACTCCGGGCAAAGCTTGGTCCACTTGCTACTGTATGTATTTATGTAGGAAGAGTATCGTCGATGAAGAGTTGGTAGACTTTTGGCTTCTTTTCGAACGTTGAACGAATAGCAGACACTACAAAGCTTTGAGGTCCTTCTTGCCGTTGGCCTCTTATGCCAGAAAATTAGATATTTATTGCTTGGAGGAATTCAAGATAGAATCATTGCATCATATAGGATGTTTTATTTGGGAAGAAATTTCCAAGGGAAGGATATTGTGTGTATTAGTATTCTATGGAAAATTTTGAAAAATATAATACGATACAGTTTAGGTTAAGTACACACACACACACACACATTATTTACTGCTGCCACGCAACTATCTACATATTGGCTGTTGCGTAGCACCCAATAAAAGTGCTTAAGGCGCACTCACCAAGGGGATGGGTAAAAAGCAAGCAAGGTGGCGTGTCGGGAAGTGTGTAAAAGTGTTGCTGTCAAGGTGTCAAAACAATGAAAATGGCAACAGTTACAAAAGTGGATATGCGCCAGCAAGTTGTTATTAGAACCAACAACAGCGCAACGCAAAACGGCGAACAGCGCTGGCAAGCGACTGAAGCTGTCACACATTTGGTGCAACGCGGCGCACAATACGTAGTGCAAACGAGCGCATGCAGCACACGCCACACATATGAGTAGTTGTTGCGAATAAAATAAGTGCAACGCGAAGAGTTTGTAAAGTTACAAAGTTACATTTAAAATGGAATTGAAATTAAAATTGCTTGGCAGTGCCAATCAAACTACATAAATAAAACAAGTAAAGAATAGAAAACAATAAGAAAAACAGCAACAGCAATAAAAAGTGAGCAATCGCAACTTGCAGCCTTGCAGTGCACACAATTATTTTTACGAAAATAGAACTTTCTGCTTTTGAGCCAACATCGCCTCCCCGAAAATGCCTCGCACACCTAACAGCAAGCGCTTGTCATCGCAAAGCTCCTCACTCACTGGAACACCACCACCATTGCATCGCTCCACCAACTCCAGCAATTGCACAACCGTCACAATGATGTTGGCAAATCGCATCGCGCACAACTCTGACTGGTCAGTAGACGATGAGCACTTTTTCGAGACGAACACAATGAACGTTTGGCAAACGCTCGAATTTCTTTCCGGTGTTAATTTGCGTAAACGCTATCACTACCAAGGCTACAATGATACCGAAAATATTATACGCACTTTAACGCCTTCATGGCGGCGCGATAGTTTCGCCGAGAAAGCGGCTGCCGCCAATAAGGAAGATGCTAATGGCGCTGGTGGCAGTGGCGGCGGAAGTGGGCGTGGCAAGGCGCCAACTGATAATGCTGATGCTGAATTCATTGGCAGCGGTACTGCAATTATGCGCCAGAATCAGCAGCTTAGCTCGAAAAGCAACAACAACACAAAAAAGGGCAGCCGCACTGTATTCGTTAAGGTGAGAAAAAGTGGTAAAGGTGAGCGTGCCAAGAGTGATAAACAGCAGCAACGGTGTAAGAAATCTGTCACACTCGATCCGCAATATGCGCTCTCGCAGGCTGAATTCACGGACTTGGTGAAGTGCAAGTAAGGACTTTTTTAAAGTTATGTTTATGGAAGTGTAAATATTTTTTGTTAAAGGAATATGCCTGAATATGGATGGCGTATTTTCACTAAAAAGAAAATATTACGCCGTGCAACAAAAACAAAAAAATTTCAAAACACACGAAAGAATTGATATACTCACGAAACTATGGGCCAAATATGGTAAAACTCGGTTTTTAGTTTTTCACTCTGACGTCAGAATTTTTTTCAAATGACTTTGGAATTTTAAAGATATGATTAATTCAAAAAAATATATATTTTAAAAACTCAGTGCAATGTGAAATAACAATATGGGTACCAAATGAGAGAGAAAATTCTGTAGAATATACATTTTTTGGTTTACAAGGACGAATCGGTATTGAAAATGCGCTTTTAACAAATTTTATCTTCTTAAGTTAATAAAGTTTGCAGGACGAAATTCGATGATGAGGTCGTGCGAATACTAGTCCTCAAACAATAATTAAAAAAAAATAAAAAATTTGCAAACTTTCAAGAGTATTTAAGGACAAAATTTGTAAAGGACATTTTCCATGCCCATTCGTCCTTATGCACCAAAATATGTATTCTGTTATAATTCTATAGAATGTTTTCTTTTATATGATACCACATATTGTTATCTGCACTGAATTATTTAAATAATTTTTTGAAATAATCATATTTTTTTAATTTAAAAAAAAATCCTGACATCAGAGAAAAACTCAGTTCGCAGTTTTACTACAACTTACCCATTGTTTCGCGAATATATTAATTTTTTTGTGTGTAAAATTTACTGTCGCACGGCGTTGTTAAAGAAAAGTTAACATCTATCGAATGAATGTGTATTTAAGAAATGCGTCACTAATATTTTTACTAACTTTCTAAAATAATTATTAGTATTATAAAGCACACGTACAATAAAGCCCCGAAATGAAAAACAGTCAAAAATTAAATAAGTTATTAAAACAGAAAGAGTGCGAAGAAATGCGCAGTTGGAAATAGTGAAAATAAATGCGAAATTAGATTTAGATTCAAGCCTAAACACTTCTAAGATCATTCTTTTCACGTTTCAGCTACCGTAATTATATCTATCCATCCCAAAAAAAAACAAATCGAAAATTGGAAATATGGTAGCAAGTTTCATTCTTAACCTTAAATGGCCACATTCTTCCTGATTTGCGCTGTGACCGCCTAAGCTATTTTTGCCGAGTCCAATAAATCACTCCAACTGAGGCCAATAGAAAATGTCAAGTGAAACCAAGTGCCTCTCCACATAATTTCTCCAACTCTTTGGCACCTCGTTGAATATTTTCAGCACTGGAATGCGCAAACGCCATCGTATATCTTTCGCATAATCTTTTTCTCGAAACTCCAAGAGCCGCCTCATCAGATGTTTTCATTGTCCATGCCTCCGTGCCATACACCAGCATGGGCATGATGAGTGATTTATAGAGTGCGGTTTTTGTACGACGAGAGATGACATTGTTTCTCAATTGCCTACTCAGACCAAAGTAGCACTTGGTGGCAAGAGCGTTTCTTCGTTGGATTTAAAGGCCGACACAATTTTTCATGTCAATGTTGGAGTTTCGGTATGGATGCCATGCTCAGATTTTCGTAGACCCAAATGAGGACGAATTCAGATACGAATACCAAGCCAAATACAAATAACA